TCTCTCTCTCTCTCTCTCTCTCTCTCTCTCTCTCTCTCTCCGGCAACCGCCGAAATTCTCCACCCCTGTGTACAAATGGAACCAGCGGCGACCCTGTCGCATAAGGGATATTCGTCACCGGTTCGATTTTTATACTGTTACGTGGTCTTTTATATTTTCCAAAGACCGTGTATCTTAACAAACATGTATTATTAATAACTTAGATATCTACGTGTTCTTTGAAAAATGTAAAGTTATTTAAAAAAGAAAAATTATTCTTTCCTGTTATAATCGACTTCGTGGATACAATCGAAATGGAAGAAAAAAATTAATTCTCTCTAGTAGAATGTCATATGTTCTTTGGAAAATGTGAAGTTCTTAAAACAAATAATTATTCTTTCCTGTTATAATTGACTTCGTGGATACAATCGGTTCAACATTGAAATGGATATAGAAAAGAATAATTTTCTCTGATGGGATATTTCAATTGAATGTTTATTTGTATTACGTAGGTAAGAGAGTTTTTCTCAGTTTTAACTGTTGAAACGAATATCTCGTGTCTGTTTCCCATAAATTTCGCCCCAGATAAATTTGCCAGAGCTCTATCCCCTGCGTGCTCGTGTTTATTTCATCTTCAAGCACATTGGCATTTCTAAAATCCCGAAATTCCAGCCACTCTTGCCGAGCTTCGATCTCCCGTTCGAAAGAACGAGCCGCAGGAAAATGTATCACAGCGAAATGCCAAATAATGATTACAGTCACGGAAAAGCGACGGGATAATAGAACGCAGAGCTAGTAGCGGCTGCCAGGAAGAACAGGGGCGATCCGCGATCGATGATCATCCAGATCACGGTCGCGACAGTTGATCGACGTGCTTGCGGAACCGTGCCAGCGATATAGAAGAGATCCCTCGCATTCTTCCTGTTCTGCTGCTATTTTTATCTTTCGCGCCACGATCTGGCCGACGATCTTTCGCTAAACAATTCAACGCGGGGCGCGTTCGCGCTGCTTCGGCCACTTGGCACGTACCGAAGAAAAATTGCCAAGCCGATCCTCGAGCCGGCGACGCAGCGTTTCGTTAAAGGGGGAGCCTCGTTGGAATCTCGCATTATCGTCGTGGCGGTTCCGTTGACCCTGACATTTGGCAAACGCCACGCCGTTTACAATCGTGTACAACCGGCGGAATTCATTGCGTTGGTAATAAGAGAGAAAGAGAGAGAGAGAGAGAGAAGAAAAGAAAAGAGAAGATGGAGAATCGCCATCGCCTGAAGCACGGCGAAGCACTTCCTTTGGCTTCGACGCACCGCGTTGTAATCACGTACGGACGTGGCCTTCCTTGTTTCAGGACGAAGCACGCCGAGAACGCCGCCTCTCTTTTCTGCCCCCGTTAACGGTACGGTGTTTCGTGGATTCTTTTTGTACCGTGTTTTATTGATTTCACGCGCCAGCGTTAATTTAAGGGTGACCGCTTTTTAGGACTGTCT